CCCCCCCCCCCCTGGGGTGGCCCTTTGCTTTATTATTGACAATGAAGATGCACTGGAACAAGAAAGCCTCAAACTTGCACCCATAGGAGAAGAAAAGCCTTCAGATTACTGTGCAAACCCTGAAACAGTGCAACCTCTAGGTGGATCAAAGTTAGGACATGGCTAACTCACAGGATGAAATTGGAATTAGCTTGTCATGCTTAGCAGAGGGAGGAAATGGGAGAAAAACCTGGAGAAAAACCCTCAAATTAAGGGAGAAACCGAACAAACTCTATACTCACATGTGATGCCAAGTCCAGGAATTGAACCCGACACCCCAGAGGTGAGAGGGGAGTGCACTTTCTGCTATGACACATCTTGATTCCCTTGATGCTGGTTGCTAATGTTTTTAAAGAGGGAATCAACAGTCCTGAAATATTCCTTGGCCAACTTGCCTTAGCAATTCCCATATGATTTCTTACCATATGAATGGAACAAATCAAGTAATTACTAACAACTATGTTGTCTTCCCAGAGAAATTTCTGGGGGAAATGACCTCAATTACGAACTTTGGAAACAAATTGAATATAAAGGTCAAGTGGAGGGGATTGCATTTCAAAAGGTGTGTATGTGTATCGGATCACAAACTACAAAACAAAGTTTGATTGGTTTTGTGGTTGGTTACAGTAGGTGGAGGCTTGATGCACTAAGAGGGATGTTTAATCGAAGTGCTATCATGACCTATCTTGTTGCAATGCTAAAGTATTTTGGTGGGGGGGGATTGAATCCCCTATACCCCACCTCCATGGTCTCAGAGGTCTTTGAAAACAAGAGTAATATGAACCATTCCTAAATTTTTTTGAGTGAAAATGAAACAGTGGTTCATGGTCACGTACATGAATTTGGGACTGTACTTAATGTAATTTAAATGACCAGCTGATCTGAGAATTTTTTTAGCCGATCAGAATTGAGAAAATTTGCAACTACTGAGGTGTCACTTTTCCTCTTGAAATCACAGATTTCCAGGCCTCCAAATGAAAAAAGCCGTGGTTAATATGCGCATGATAAAAGTGACAAAATAACTCATGAGTTTTATATTTTTACTCTAACAGCGGGCATGTTTTTATATTTCACTGATCAATTTCCCCACAGCCTTCATGACACCTTACTTTTTCATTGACGTCATTCATACGTCACTATTTCAGATCAGCTGTAATGTTTGCCATTTATTTTCTATATTTTTATTTTCAGAATAAGGATGTTATCCTTGTTTCTGTGAGAAATGACAATAACCTCCATGTTGTTAATTTGACTGGAGAAGAACCACAGGAGGTAAAGACCACAACGAGTTGTAATCATCCATCAAAATATTAGCTTGTGTTTGATTTAGAGGTTCATCATTAAGAATAAAGAACAGTGAACTTTTGGTGTGGGTTCGAAAGATCTGAACCCTGCACTCCCAAGGCAGCTATATATATAGGATGCAAAACTTCACTATAATCAGTGCTTTGCCTTGCCTCCCTACCCGGGCCCTTTACTTCACTACCATGTCCCTTCAGAAATTCCTGGATATAGCCTTGTCACTAATAAAAGAATTTTCCAAATTTTTTTCCTCCCTACCTTTTCCTTCGCAGGACAAACAAATCAACATGAATCTGCTGCAAGATGATTATGTTAGTTTTACAGCTATGGACATCAGCTGCAGTCCTGATGACAACTTTGTGCTAGTTTCAACTGGTAAGAATTATTTTTTGATAATTAGGCAGTGTCAACATCTCCCATTATGGTGAAATGGCGGGCCAGCATCTCGACTACTTTATTATTATTATTTATTATTAGGTGGCAAATTTTTCATGCTTGCTTATGAAGCAACAAACGTAACTTCGGCACCTCTTAGACCATACCAACAAGAAAATGAAACTGAGAAACCGAGTCAAACCCAATTACCCATTCATCACCTAGCTTGAGTCAGCCACAGGGAAATTACGCGTCTCTGTTAGATTAATTTCCCGTCGTTTATCAACACGTTTTCTTTTTTTTCCGGTTTTTTTTTTTCATCCTCGGGAACTCAGGGGCAAAATTCTGTTGAAGCGAGAAACGAGCGACGGAATATTACCAAAGGGTCCCGAGGATGTTTTCTTTTGGCGTAAAATCTAACGACCTCTTTGTATCTTTTCTCCGATACTGCTCAGATCAAGACAGACTTATTATTTTTGACTTACGCACTGGAAGCCAGGTATGGTATAGCTTAGTTCTTGTTTACGTGAAGGAATTTAAACGGAAAGGTATGCTTGCTTTTCATAGCCTTTCTAACTGGTCCACTCTATCGTGCCTAGTATGGAAGAATGAACCCTTTGAGAAAATTTTGCTTAACGTAAAAAGGCATACGGTATACAGTTACGGTTCGAGATCGACGACATGCGAGTAAGGGTGGTGTGGACATACTATGCCGTACACTGTGAGCTCGAGTGAGTGCCGTGGCGTACTCAGTTTTCACATTCATAGAGACTAGTCTATTCTTTGCCAGTCACTGCGCGGCACTTTCCCAGCACGGAATGGCACGTCGCCACCACTCCACTAGCCAGACGTCCTTTAAACCAATCACAGCGCCTAAGGTCACTGCTCATCCAATCGGAATGGCACGTTGTGGCATGGTCACGGCACGGTACTGTGAGTTTTTCACAGCCATAMGAAATCGGCTTTAGATCATTATTTTCCAGTGTCTTTTCTGTGCTACTCTATGCATCAAAATAAGACAAATGCATGTAATAATGACCTTTTTGACATCGCTTCTTTTCCACTTTCCTTTTGGTTCTTTTTTTCCAGGTTGCTAATTTTTATGGCAGTCTTAACGACGAATATAGTCAACCAAGAAGTTGTTGGGACCCTTCAGCACAGTACATATACTCTGTGAGTCGTAAACAATTTTACAACTAGTCTCTTTGTATAAATAGTCATTATGAAATATGTACTAGCTGTTGTAAACCTGTGTCCCATGATCGGAAATTTAGGTTTCCATTTATGTATTATTTATAATTTTCCTCTTCTGATTTTACATGGCTATTTATACTTTTTCTTAAAACTCCAAGGTGGTGAGGGATGGCTAGTCGCCCATTCTACCACCAGGATTCACCATATAGAAACCGCACTTCTTTTTAATTTGCAAGCTAAAACATTTTCTCATGCCCGGGGGAGGGGGGGGGGGTAATTCTTGACAGGCCTTATCACTGTATCAGTTTTGCTTAATTTAGGGAAGACTACGACACTTGCTTTATCTAATTTTCTTCCTCATTTTCAGACCTCTCAAGACAAGAGTATAATGGTGTGGGAGATATCCAGCCAAAAGGTTGTGGAAAAACTAGAGGGACACACTGGCATAGTGGTAAGGACTGAAGGAAATTTGGAACCCTTAAAGCTCAGGTTAAACGTCGAACTCCAAATGAGCCCAACCTATTTGTAACAATGGATAACAAGGCGGTCTTCCTCTTTGATTACATTAGGCTCGACTCATGTGAAGTTTGACGTTCGACACGAGCCTTAGTGTTCACTTTCAGTTAATGTAATTTTATTAATCTTCTAATGTAATTTTATTAGTCTTCTAATGCGTTAATGATACGCGGTCGTGCGATTTTGTAATCGCGCGTTTGATTTACGACACGAAGTTCAATTACCACTTAATCATATCCTTTTTGTAATCATACACAAGAAAAAGACACAATAAAGAGTGCAGAATAATCAACTAAATGTAGTAGAACTAAATGCGAATAAAAAAAATATCTAAAAAAAAAAATTTTTTTGTTGATTTTTTTGTTTTATTTTGTTTTATTTTATTGTTTAAAAAAATTATTTTTTAGGATGCGATTAAGAGCTCCTAAGGATGCAATTTGGGAATTAATCGCACTCCTTTGAACCAATCAGATTGCATGATTTGGTAGTGATTACAAAAAGGATATGATTAATATTGTAATGTAATTTTATACTGAATTTTACGTGATACATGCAGGAAGTGATTACCGGTCCCACATGACTAAACAAAAACGGCGATCCAGAGAAAAACCCTCGAAGCACAGACGAGAACAAACAAGCAACTCACAACTCAGCAACTCACAACCACAAACGACACCGAGTCTTAGAATCGAACCCAGGTCGCATTAGTGGTGAGGGCGGCAACGCATAAGCAGCCCACCCGTGCTTTTTAAGTACCTTTTGGGGTTTCAACTCGTATTTTTAATGACTTTGTTTTTTGCTTTTTTTCGTCCACAGAGAGACTTATGGTACTGTGAACCTCTCTCTGTGTTAGTATCCTGTGGATTCGATGGCTCAGTTCGGTTTTGGAACAATGGACACAAGGATGAAGTCAGTTAACAACAATTTTCTTGACTTCACTAGACATCATTTTCTGTACGGAATTTTCATCAGCTGAGTTTTCAATGAGTTTTCAATAGAATTCTTTATATGGCTGACATCACATGGTAGTCAGTGTTTGACCACCATTTGGAGCAGATATTGAGATTCAAAGACTTTCAATAGCTGAAAACCGACCCAAGCAATCGTGAATGAAAAATAACCGCTAAATATTTTACTAATAAATAAAGGGAATGATTTGGGAATAAACAAAAAATACAATATAAAAGGGGAAATGAATTTTTTTAAATAAACACCCAAGTGCAAAATCGTTGTCGTATAAAATTGAATAAATATAAAATAAATATTTTTGACTTTCACATTTTGATTTTAAAGCCCCCTAAATTGATGTAAACTTTGAATTTCCGACCGACAACGTTTTTTAGAATATGTGTATACCAACAAAAAAAATATCGAAAAGCATCTACCTTCAAAACAGTGAAATAATTAGATCAGTTTTGCTAAAAAAGTAATTAATTCGTGTTTGTTTTTGTTTTTTATTTTTATATGTGACAACGTTCCTTCAATTAGGTGTATATATAACGAAATGTGAAAAATATAGATATATATTATGAAAAGAATAGTGTACGTGGAAGTCGAAAACCTTCTTAGTTCATCTGATCAGGTTTTGATGCTTGTTTTTTTACCTGATGTGTTTTAATGAAGTTACATCGCCCTACTGACGCAATGAGTAGTTTTAAGCCAATTAAAACCATCATTTATTATTTTATAACGTCAATTATCTTGACTTTGAAGGATCATTCATAATTTACTTTCTACCAGAAATTATTTTTTATTTTTTTCAATTTAAACTCATTATTTTACTTTCTGGTCTTCTCGCATACGCCCCTTTGATAGGTCAGTACAGTAATTTTTACCATAAGTTTAAATCCTTAAGCCGCGTTTACACTAGCGATTTTTGCGGCAATTTTTGCTGCGATTTTTTTGCGATTTTGTCCATAATAAATAATGGTAAAGAATTTACTTACTCGTAAAGGTTTTTTTCAGGATACCAAGATTTTCCTAGACTAATGTCTCTTTTGAAGGATGAGACAAAAGATTTCATATTTTCGAAAATTGCCACAAAAATAGCAGCAAAAATCGCCGTAAAAATCCGCGCCAGTGTAAACGGGGCTTTAGAAGTAATCCAATTATCAATAAGAAAGCAATGCCTGAAAAGCAACTAAATTCTAGAAATGTCAATGTCAGTGTGTAAGGAGAGTAACGAACTCAATCTCGTACCCAGAGTTTCTATTTCTTACTGCGCATGTCGAAAAAATAATATTACTTCGTCAAGCATGCGCAGTATAAAATAAAGTCTCTGGGTACGAGATTGTGACTTAATGAATTTCACTGAAATGAGTTGATTTTACACACCAGCCCTCGGCCTCTTTATTCTCCCTCTTAAAGCTTTAAAGCGCAATTGGAATTTGTGAATTATAAATATTGCTCACTCGCAAAGCATTCTGGTCGATTGAAATTGTTTGCGGTTATTGGTCGTGAATGTCATGGACAAATTTAAAAAGTTTTTCATTTGTGTTATTAATTTCGTCCCTCATTCCAAATTGATTTTTTTTTCTCAATATATTTCAACCTTTTTTAATGTTGCGGTACTTGTATTATCTTGAAATAACGTTATTTTGTCTCTCGCAACCTCTAAGCAGGAACTCAACTCTTCAAGTGTAGCCAGTCAAATCTTGGCCGTTCCCCTAGGCGCCGCATGAACGTACTCTGCCGTCTTTGCCCGATGTTTCTGGCTACTTTCGTTCGTGTTAGTTAGAAGATTATTTCGGTCTCAAAAATAACAATCAATTTGTTTTAGTTTTTATATTTACGGCTTTTCAAGTATCAAAGTGGCCGGGCCTCCTGTGGTTATATGCCCCTTCTTCCAAATATTGGCCTTTCTATTTCTCTCGTGAATGACGTTATTATAAGAATACTGAGTAGCAGATGTAAGATGTTATTGCTTTCTTCATAAACATAATGATGTGCGTATTCTTACAGATTTAATTTTCTCCGCCAAAATTGCTCAATTAATCCGGAGAAGCATTGCTGAATAATTCAACAGAATGGCTTCTTGCTCAAAATCTTAGAATTTATAAAATAAAATAATATAAAAACATACCCATAATTGAGGATTTTTATTCAACCATTGCTGGTTTTTTGATTGTGGCTAGGGGATATTTTTACAAGTGTCTTTCATTTATTCTTTGCATGGGATCATTTGCAGTAGATCCTATCTGTGTTTATCTTTTGGTCGATCTTGTCTGAGTCTGTGTATTGAGTCTGACAGATCATTCACTCAAAGTGGCATAATTCATGTCATTATAAAACTCCTTATAAATAAGGTAATTAGGAAAAAGAACTTTTTAGGTTTCTGGGATTTCTGATTTCGTGATCTTTGCCATATTAGATCAAGAGTCTAGAAAAGTCGAAATTAATATACTATGAATAGTAGTGAGTGAACTGAAGGGAATTCATAGAAATAAAAATAGAAAATTTTAACGAGGATTTGCATTACATTTTCCCGTGTCGGATACTAAATAATTCATCTCCAATAATGTACTCTGTCAAATGCTTCCTGTAAAACAACATAAAATTTCTGTTTACCTAAAACGAATTATCACAAAAGTTCTACTTCATATCAGGGAGCCAAGAATTTTTTTTAGGCTTTATAGTTGTAATCTTTAACTTTGCGGAGAGAAAAAAATCTTAATTTTCTAGACCATGAAAGATATGAGACGAGTTAGTGAGGTTCCTTTTTGCTTTTGTATGAATTATCATGAGAGTTGTTTGTTGTGGCGCTGGGGATGTAATTCATTTTCAAGGGTTTGGTTGTGGATTTGATTTGCATATCAAATCTTCGGTCTCGGCAAATCTCTAAAATGGGGAACCAATCGAACTTACGCGTCCTGATTGGTCCAAATGTAAACACGTCATAAAATATGCTAATTATTTCTGGGCTGGTAATATCTTGGCTTTTCTTACACTTCAAATTAACATCTGTTAAGATTTTCGATCGATTTTGCATCCAAAAATATTGCCTTACCCCGAACATATCATGAATTTAATAACCGCCGATTCCAAGAGGGTATTGCGCGAGATTTAAGTGAGGTTTTTGAGGTTTTTTTACAGAATTCGCATACGTAATGAGCATATAATTCATGAAAATCAATATGGCCGACTGGGAGGAATATTTCTCGAAACAAACTGCTCCTGCAAGCCTTAAAGAAACGAAAACCATCGTTGCCGAATTCGCAGTGAACCACAGAGCTGCGGGAAGGAATGTTGTGCTAATAACGGTAAGTGAAGTCAGTTTTTGATCAAATCGGGTCCAACTTGGTCGAGGCTGGTTCTTTAATGCTATGCATAACAACGGGGATAATTTCTCGATTATGCTTTAAACATTTTCTCCTCGTATACATTATGAACCTCGCAGCACAAAGGCTTTGTTCGCTTTGAAAGTCGAGACTCCTCAACAGGAGATTTCTAGGAGGCGGAAGAAAGGTCTTTTACATGTTTTGCCGTGCCATCTTATAGGTGGTTTGAACGAAATTCATCAGCCAAGAAATGATCATAAGAGCTTWTTGGAAGGCGTTTTAAATAATTCGCTTCGGCTTGGACAATTTGCATGGGCTTTGCATTTGAATGACGGCCATTTTCGACCAAAATTTCTTCAAATGCTCAAAGCACGGCGGTGTGTTCATGATTTAACCGGACTAATAGAATATGAAGACGATCAGTTGGTTTTTGGTTTGTTATTTTAGATGTTCTTGTCGTTAAAAGCCATTTTGATTGCAGCTCGTGGTCAACGCTTGGGTTCTTGACTCGTTGTCTACTGACCCGTATCTCGAATCAGACTATCACGTGTAGAGATATATTTAGACTTAGAGACCAATTCATACCATAAGAAACTCGAAGAAAAAAAGAACGACCTTTCTTTATAAATGCAAATAAAATACGCTTTTATTACATTTGTAGATTTACAGCTGAAATTTAGCAAATCCCGATATTATGCTTTGAATTTTAAKTCCAAATCTGCTCAGTTGTCATAACCAAGGCTTTTTAAAATCAGATCTATAAGTACTATCTTTATATTAATGCGATGTATTTTTTCATCCAATGTTTCCATAGCTGCTTGATCGTCCGTGTGAAAAAATCTAATGTTTTTTTTTGATGCGAGCGTCCTTTATTATTTACATTTCAGTTTTGTCTTATCAAATCACTACAGTCTATATAGAAAACAAAAGCCTTTTGTTTAGGACAAGAGTTCACTCGAACATTATTGATTTAACGATCTTTAYATTCTGGGAAGGCCATTCTTGAGCTATTGCATCAAAGAATTCCATCATTAGCTGGCAATATTGGTGAGCGTTGTGGATTATCAGCTTTTATGACCCCAAGACCTAATGAGAATGATTTTGAAAAGCTAAGTCTCTAGGGTATAGGGATGTAGAGGTGTTCTTTATTTCCATTCACTAAACCTTCTGACAATGCTGCTTTATTTGTTAATATATAGGYTTATCAAAATTTGTTCACATAAAATAAATGAATAAATCTTTTTTTATTTATACACGGTAGGCTTTAAAGCTAGAAGCTTGTGGGGTCATGTATCCTCCATACACACTCCTTACTACATTCGAATATTCTATACACACAACTCTCAACTCAACATGTTGTTGTTTTTTACGGAGGGAGGAAAACCAGASTGGAGTACCCAGAGAAATCCCTTATAGTATAGGAGAGAAAAACACATMAAAMAAACTCAACTTACATCATACTAGCTTGGATGGGAGTAAAATGCCAGTTCCTTACCATAAGTTTTGTATTGGTATRAGGATAACTAACACCTTAGCAGCATAGACCACCCATGGTATTTTAAACAATCAGATCCAGAAATTAAAAGATGTTTTTTTAGCCTCTTGTGATGAATATTAATATTGATTCCCCTAATTAAAGAGTATGCAAACTAGATTGCCATGTACATGTAATGCTCTTGATTTTTCGCAAAAAAGAATGGAAGGATTTTGTTTGAAATTTGCTAGCTGTGATTAGTAGGGTTCTTTTAATAAGGTTGAATGTCATTATTTTCTTAGTTTCTCCTGGAGAGACCATGCCAGTAATGAAGAGAAATGGTCATCACCCATTAATCAACAATATTAATATGGAAGAAAGGGTTCATATGACTCGGGGCCCTGTCCACACGTATCTGGAAATTTTTGTATCCACAAATTTTTTTTYCGGACACGGGTTGTGTCCACACATGTTGGGAAATTTTTGTATCYGTATCTGGAAATTTTCGAAAACGGTCTCCAGAGTGGAAATTTTGGAATGCGCTCCGAATACGGTACGTGTGCACAATCGTATCTGCAAATTTTCGRATATGCTGCGTAAACACGATTTTGTGCATGCTCAATAAGAAAAACTATCCGTCAAAGGGACTAGGCACTAGCGTGCATCRGGGCAGATCAAGAAATTTCCGGATACGTATGGACAGTGAAAACGATTCAAATACGCTGCGTGTGGGTGCGAACATTTTTGTATCTGCAAAAAAAWATTGCTGATACGTGTGGACGGGGCCTCAGACATGTTGTCCGGATAACTAATGACGCCCCTACCCCTACCCCTACCCCACAGGCTTTTCTTTTGGGAACCACCAGGACGAYCAGGCAGACAATGCATGCATTCGAAGGATGTGATAGCCAGAAACCTGAAGAATTAGTACACGGTACAGTTGCAGAACATTTTGCTGGTACTGTGTGGGTCAGATGCATGACAGCTTTCGAGAGAAGGGGGGGGGGGGGCATTAGAGAATTTAACACTATGATGATATAGATCTAGAGTGGGAAACCTGACATGGCTAGCTGGAAGTTTTGTTGACGAATAGCCCTGATATTTAAAATATTTWAATCTTTTTTACAGTCTGGTGGAACAGCAGTCCCTTTAGAGAGCAATACCGTCAGGTTTATTGATAATTTTAGCAGTGGAACCAGAGGAGCAGCTTCTGCTGAGTATCCTTTAACACAGAACAACTAGTACACCCATCACTTCATGCATATGATCAACCTTATTTCAAAATGCTCATGCTTTTGCTTCTCTAATAATATTTATAGTACATCCACAAAACAGAATTTGAAGGAGGAGGCAGGGAAAGGATATAGAAAGAAAGGTTGAGGGGCTGGAGGGAAATAAAAGGAAGCAGGAGGGCAAGTGAGAAGGAGGAATGTGAAGAAGCAGGAAATCTAAAGCTTAGGGTTTCAAGTCCCAAGAATTCAGGACAGGGAATTTTGCAGTCAAAGTAGTATTCCAAGTGAAAAGTATAAAGCCAGTGACTTCTAAGGCCAAGAAACGCTCTTGATCAATCATTGTATCTAATTATATTTTTCTTAACCATTGTAACCCAGACAATTTCTTCAACAAGGTTATGCTGTTATTTTCTTGTTCAGGCAGCATTCCTTGCAGCCTTTCTCAAGACACATTTCACCTGACAATTTTCTGGATATTCTAGAATTCAAGGGAGATAATGAGGGTGCACTTCATATTGAAGGTTGGTCTTAATTATATGTTGCACAGCAGTTGATTGGCTTGGGCATGGGGTAAAAACAATTTGAAAAGGAAATATAATATATCATAAGTTGAACATGTAGGTAGTGATTGCTCAGTCACTCATGGATAAAGCACTCTGCACCAGATTGAATTGGAATTTACAGTACTCCTTTCTTAAAGTAGATTTAACAGCTTAAATGTTGTGTAAAATGTAGAATTTATAGCAGTCCCGAAATATGATATATTTTAAGTTGAACATGTAGGTAGTGATTGCGCAGTTTCTAAGCCACAGGCTCATGGATAAAGCACTCTGCACCAGATTGAATTGGAATATACAGTACTCAGTTCTTAGGGTAGATTTCACATTTTAAATGTTGTGTAAAATGTAGAATWTATGGCAGTCCTGCTGACAGTTTTCATATTTCTTTGACAGTTGATGAAAGTAGGGCACCAAATATAAGGGATGTATTAAAAAAGTATCACGAGGTAAGAAATTGAACAGATAGTATTAGACACTTCGCAGGGCAATGGGTGGGTGGAGCTGCATGCATGAGGTGTGGTGCATCTCCTGGTACTGTAGCTTATTAAGAGACAGATAGTATTTTGTTAAAGGTGAAGGTCAGGGTAGAGCAGCATTATTTAGAGATCAGTGACATGTCAGTCACAACTGACAAACCTGTGGCCCTGTTTGGTTATTCTCTCTAAATGAGATGGGACCACTATTTTAGATGGTCATCTGTACCGCTGAGAAGGTTGAACTACATGTATTTGAAGATTTTTTGAGTTTGCTCCAATATTTTAAGATTATGAGTCTTGGTCTGGACAAGGCTTGAAAAATACTGATTAAGAATTGAAAACCAGAACAATATAATCGAGACATTTTTATCTTCTTATGCATTTCAGGTCCAGGTTTTAGGGACATTATTATTGGTAGAGTTCAATACTTTGTCAGATTATCTGTTTTTACTACGAACTATGGCTGAAGCCTTGGGGAATCTTGGTTCACAAGTGATGTTTTATCTTGCTGCTGCTGTCTCAGATTTCTACATACCAGAAGAAAGCATGGTAAGAAAAATGCACATTAGCTCTCATCAAAGAGCACTCATCAAAGAACTATAGAAACAAAAACTTTTTTGCAAAAAAGTGTTATAAAGTAATTTTTATTTTGAAATTATTATAAAAGGCACTTATCTACTTATTAAAGGTATGCGGGTATTTTTCAAACACCAGTTTGTAAAGGCAGGCTATTTGTTTGACAAATACCGTATGATTAGCTTACATGAAAAAAGGGGGTTAAGTTGTATCAATCAAAGGRCAAGGAAGTGAAATTCTAGTTGGATGATGTGAACAGAAGTTTTTTCTCCTCACAATTTCTTTTCAGAACAGCAAACATGGGAGAGAGAAGATAACATCTAGACATCAGGGTACCTTGAAGGGAACCCAGTGTCACATTGCGCAGCGCCAGCCTGCCTTCTAGCAAAATCTCAAATRAATAAAATGAAATAGAAATACTAAATTTCACAAAACACACTGATTTTAACTCCTAAGAGATACGTTTAGCATACCCAATACTTTTATCCCAGTGTGCCCCCTACCCCTTTAGGCCCAATGTCGTAAGAGAATGGCAATAGATTTAGATTGAGGATATTATTGACTTAATAACTCATTTAAATATGTTTTCCAACTTTGCAGGCTGAGCACAAGATCCAATCAGATTGTGGTCCTCTTGAGCTAGTAATGCAACAAGTGCCAAAAATGTTGACACCTCTAGTAAAAGAGTGGGCTGACAATGCCTTTGTGGTTTCATTTAAGGTAAATCTTTATGCTGTAATCTATATATATATATATATATATATATTATGATTATTGTAACCAGTATCTACCACCATCTCTAGAAGTGAATTTATAAAGGATTTTGTACTCAAATTGCTTTTAATCGGTCGTGCCTCGTTTCTGGCATGTATTACTCCAGAATCTGCAACTCTAAGCTGATTTATTCCCAAATGGACTTATGGCTAATAAAATGTTGGGGAAATAATTTATATTTTTTATTCAATTTTGGTCTTTTAGTAAATGTTCTGCATCATAAAGAAAGTGATATGCTAAATACTTGATGACCTTTTGTCCACAGCTCGAAACAGATGTGAATATTATCAGCAAGAAAGCTAGGGAAGCTCTTAATAAATACAACCACCAAGTGAGTCGATCTCCCACACAACTCTTCAGTTAATCTACGTTATTGACTACAAGACTCGGAGGGAAAGCGATTTTCGTATGAGTGGGAAACCGAGAGGCATATTTGTAGCTGTTTCGTATCCTACCTTAGCTTTAACTACGCGTTGTGATTGGATAAATGACTGTCTGACAATGGGAAGCCATTTCAGTGTTACCGTGCACGTGCTGTAGAGATCAGTAAGCTTTAATACTTTTCGTTTCCCACGAATACAAAAACCACTCTAAACTTTTGCACAAGCTGTGAGATTGTGCTCTAGGCATCTTGTTGACAGATATATCGGTCGTAAGTCTCGATTACAAATTAAACAGTTACTTTCAGTTACATAATCTTGTATTACAAATTACTTGATAAAGTTCTAAGGTCTAAAGTTCTCGAATTCAAGGCCAATTTTCCCCACTTTTTTATAACAACCCAAAAATAATGTATTTAAGGAGGTTCCGTGGAGGGGGCTCGTCATTTTTTGGGGAGAAATATGGTAGAGTTACAGAAATATTCTTCTACCGTGGGGAATTTAAATTATATTTTAAAGAACACATAAACCATGCTCCTAAAGTCTTAATAAATGGCCCCTAAGCTTGAATAGTGCAAGCCACAATGATTCAATTACCTACTTTATACGCATGCGTAAATATGTTTCATTTTTCGTATAAATTTACCGCCATTACGCATGCGTGTCCTGTTCGCATTATATCTGTAAAACTCTAATGATAAAAAAAGTAAATTATACACCGTRAAAAGATGAAAAAAACTTGCTGACGTTTCGGACGCCAGTCCTTCGTCGGAATAAAAGAGGAAAAAACTCATATTTTACTGCCTGGATGAAATTGCTTTTGATTAAAACCGTTATATAACGAGGGTTTCCGGGGGTGATCTTGGTCGGATAGGGCAGGTCATCGTGATTTTACCGAATAACGTCCGCGAAAATTAACTCTATTTTAAAACATTCATTAATTAAATTGCATTGTGTTGATTATTTTTAAAGGTGGTGGTGTCTAATATATTACAAACGCGTAAAAAGACCGTAGTTATAGTGACGCCTGCACATGAGATGGCAGTGTGGATGTCTGATGAAGAACTCGAACAAGGAAAAGAGATTGAAGCTAAGATTGTGACGGAGCTTGTTAAGATGCACCATCGGTTTATCTCTGGCTCGGCTATACAAGGTACAAGCACTGGATCACATCTCTTATTATAAAGACACTATATGCACTCGTTCACATTTGAGATATACTCTTTAATGTCGAAGACTCGAGCCATTTAAGTTTATAATTCCTACCCATTTGTATACATATAAACAGAGATACATTTTGCATGCCTTTGGTGTTAAAAACTCAAATTGTTGGCGTGTAAATACAATCTGTTGCTCAATCTTACGATAAGAGTATCTGTTAACTTAAATTACACGCGCCAAGAAAACATTGTACCTTAGATATAATTCATGCCATAATCGAATTATTTTTGTGTCATCATGCAAAAGTTAGTTACATAAAATGAGGTTGAACACCATATAAATCGTTTAACAATCTGCTTTTAATTTAATGCTAATTCCGTCATATGCTTTCCACATTTTTTTACCAAAATGTTTCATTTTCCTTCTGCTTGCAACATTGAATGTTCATTCATTCACAAGGCATCGTTTTTTGTAGTGACAGCTCCGCTTAGCGGAAGGCGTTGAATTTTGCCTGAATACACATATAGGCAAAATGATATTATTTTTTATCTTGTGCTTTGGGCCTTTGGTTCATTGAGAAAGAAAGATTTTTCATTCACAAGGCATCGTTTTTTGTAGTGACAGCTCCGCTTAGCGAATGGCGTTGAATTTTGCCTGAATACATATATGCAAAATGATATTATTTTTTATCTTGTGCTTTGGGCCTTTGGTTCATTGAGAAAGAAAGATTTTTCATTCACAAGGCATCGTTTTTTGTAGGGATAGCTTTCCTAGCGAATGGTGTTAAATTTATCCTGAATATGCAAAATGATCTTAGTTTTTCTCTTGTGCTTTAGTCCATTGAGAAAAAAAAATCTTTTTCCGGTTTGTGATTTATGAGGGGAACGGGTCGTGGAATGACGCTTGTCAAAACAAAGTGTATTTTTTCTAGCTCAAAAGTAATAATGGCTCAGATTTCCAAGCTTCGGGGTTTCGTGCGCCCGCAATACTCTATCCCTAAAGTAATAACTAAAATTTTAAAATGTATTACCAGAAAGATTTTCTACAAAAAAAAACTGCAATAAAATCAAATTTAGAAACAGGAATTCGAGTAATTGTTAATCTAGTAAAGAGAATAATAGGAGAATTCTCGATAAAGTTCTCTAAAAGAACCCGATATTTGGAAGTTACGTAAGTATTTTTGGTTTACCAAAAGGCCTGCGAAACAATTATATGCAATTATATGCGAAATAATTATCTCACAATTGCTGATTAGCAAAAAAGGAAAAAGGAAACAAGATAAAGACGAGAAGAGCGAGAAAACAAAAAAACAAAAAAAAAAAAACCAAAACAAAAAACAAACAAACAAACAAAAACAAAACAAAACAAAACAAAAAACAAAAAAAAAATTGCGCTGTAGGTTACACACTGCAATGCTCCATGCAAGTTGTCTCGCAATGGCGTTGTTAGACAAGTTGTAGAGAAAGTTGCTCCATGTAATCGCACTATAAGATGTTTTAGTACAGTAGTTCTAGATTTTTTCCTTGATGCATTGATTCTAAGACATGAGAGATGAGGCGGTAAGCCGTGTGGGATGGGCTAGGAAATCATATAAGAACATGCATTATATGATTTCCGAGCCCATCCCACACGGCTTACCGCCTCATCTCATGTAATACTTTTTCGTGGGATTCTGCCAGCTCACACCGTGCTGACGAGGCCCAGGACAGGCCAAAACAGCTGTCCACGGCTTCTAATTGAGCTGGCTCATTTTTTACGCGACTTGAAGTTCCCGACAAAGCAACAGTAATTTGGGAGGTAGAACAATGAATTCGGGATCGGTGTATTATAAATAGTTGTACGGGTCACATTATCATAGAGAATGGTATACGGAAGGGGTCTCACTTAGTGTGTATGGATTTTCTTCTTGGTAGGGACACACGGACAATACATCCCTGGCCAACTGCAGGAAGGAGTTCACTTATCTCAGGTATGTTAATGATAACAATATCCTGACCTAACAAGATATTTAGTTATACCTTCATCAAAGGGTTGTATTACATTTGGCTACTTTCGTGCTAAAGCTTTACATTTTATCTATATTTTGAAACAACCTCTGGGCTGATCAAAGTCAGGGCATGGCTAACTCACAGATCGAACCCTGAAACAATTTTTTGGGCTGATCAAAGTCAGGGCATGGCTAACTCACAAATCGAACCCTGAAACAACCTCTGGGCTTTTCAAAGTCAGGGTCTGGATATCTCACAGATCAAACCCTTAAACAATCTCTGGGCTGATCAAAGTTAGGGCACGGCTAACTCAAGGCAGATTCCCGAAGTGAAAAATAGCTGGAATCTCATCTTCCAACGTTAGATAAATTGATCATGCGTAGTAGATAGCAATCAGAAGCTAGTGAACTTAGGACACAGCTCCCTAGGTTACTACATGGATTCATACACTCCCCTCAACCAAAACGTGCGTTACTTTTAGTTAGATCTACGCCAAAGACATTAAGAACTCCGGATGAAGACTTCAGCATCACTCTAGCGTTTTAATGCTAATCCTTCACTTTTGCAGGTTCAACAGTTTCAACAGTATGGAGTACAGCCAAGTCAACCCCCCCTGACACCACAAGATAGCTGTTCCCCTGGATATGGAGGATTTAGCCCCAACGCCAACACCACAGTGACGCATATACGATTACGAAAGAATGAAGAAGGTAACTCACCCCCTTCAGTTTCACCTATCTCCGAGGAAAGCATACCTCCTACCCCTACCACGCCCACCTCTGGAGGTAAGGGTATTTCTAGGTTTGGGATATTATCAGATCTCTCACTTACAGCCGAGATGAAGGAGTTTATCGAATCGTTCCGCACTAGAAGGATCGCTTTGGGTTATACGCAAGAAGACGTCGGGTTCGAGTTGTCTCGAACAAACGGTCCGTCTTACAGTCAGTCTTTTATTTCACGTTTCGAGTCGAAAAACCTTGGGCTCAAAGCTGCGGAGAAAATGAAACCCGTCATGCAGACGTGGCTCGAACAGAAGGAACTAGAGTGCTCCAAGGGTTTGCGAGTCTGCAAAAAGCGCAAGCGGAGAACGTCTTTCTCAAACGAAGTCTTAAGAGTCCTGATATCGCACTTTGAACAAAATCCCAAACCAAATTCAACTGAAATAACGCAGATCGCGAAGGAAGTGAATCTGGAACCTGTCACGGTGCGGGTCTGGTTCTGTAACCGCAAACAAATGCTTAAACGAATGGCTACGGGAAAGACGAGGGTTAACAATTCATTGAAGGCAGAATTGGAAGCCAAATCTAAAGTTGAATTCAGCCCAACTAAAGAGGGTAAACTGGATTTCACTAACATGCCTGTTGGCCAGTTCTCGTTCACTGAGGATAGAGTCAAACCCCTTGTATGTGTGGGATCAGAAGGAAGTCCCGTCAAAAAGGTGTCACGTACTCCCACTTCTTGCGTTACCTATGCTCAAGTTCAAGACGATACAATTGTTCACTCAACTGCCTTGACAGGGGCGCCTGGGGCCTACAGCGTGTCAGAGCCTGTGAACCAAGTTAACCAGTTTCCATTCCCAGAAGTCGAAAAGCCAATGGGAATGAACGTCGGCAATGCTATGAAAACAACTCCACAAACACCGACCTCCTACGCACAAGAAGCAGCTATCAACTCAAGTGCTGGTACTGGGAACCATGTGGCGTACGCAACCGAGTCAATGTCAGAGCCTGGTACCCATGTCGAACACGCTGCGGTTGTCAGTTTAAATTTTGATTCTCCTGTTGTACATAAGGTACAGCAAGGACCTTTCTCTCGACCAATGGGTGATGATAACACTTTACATGACTACCATACTGAAGTACGCATGCCTGAACATTCCTGAGACTGTATTGCTTGCATACCATGGGAATATTATAATATAATATGACATAACCGTCAGAGATTTTTGTGAAGAATCTCCAATGAAAACATGAAGATTTTCAGGCAATTTTCTTAACCCATTCCAAATGAAAATTTGCGAAAATAATGCTTCAATTTTATTTTGTTATACAAATGATATCCAACATTGCTATGCTTACAGATGCATCATTCTTTAAGCTGTCAATTAAATTTACTCATAAATTTTAATCTTCTAAATTGGGTGTGCGTAGGCTGTTTACGTGAAGGTAGTATATTGACTAATCCAACTTGGCTAATTCTGCGGTTCTCTTGGGAAAGAAAGCTTGCCTAATGCACCTAGTTCATCGAACCTTCATGTAAACAGCTTGTGAATAATATAATAATAGTTTATCTTTGGCTTTAAGTGCGTAAGCCAAGGTTTTAAACGAAACAATAATTTTTAGTGTTAACTTTTGATGTGGCACACAAGTGTGTGTTTAGATTAGAATGTTAGACTAGCAGGTGTACGTTCTCTTTTGTTGCCAATCCTTGCTTGTGTTAATTTTGACTTTTAATAATGACAGCCCAAGTAGAAGTGAAGTGCAGATTTCGTATGAATGCATGATTCCCACAGACGTATTAACCAATAAGGAATAAGAACCCAGTGGTTGCTAAGTAACCATTGGTTGCTAAGTAACCAGTAGTTGCCAAGTAACCAGTAGTTGCTAAGTAACAAGTAGTTGCTAAGTAACCAGTAGTTGCTAAGTAACGTATAGTTGCTAAGTAACCGGTAGTTGCTAAGTAACCAGTAGTCGCTAAGTAACCAATAGTGTTTGATTGGCTTAACAATACATCAGTGCCATATCAAGCCATGCCATTAGGCCTCATGAGTTCGATAAAATTAATGCATCATGATCAAGCTTGGGTAAAAACAACACTATAAGATATAGCGAACAAAAGATGTTTTCTACCAAAGCTAGGCTTCAATGTACCATCTTCTTTAGAGGCTGAAGTCATTAAACCCGTGAATAGATATTAGACTAATACACTTTAGTAGACCATTAGTAGACCATTGTTTTCTTTTGTGTCTGTTTCACTATTACACGTTGACTAGTAATTTTTATTTCACGGGTTAAATGTCCTCACTCTACTCAGAAAAAGGTCTGTACTATTGTCCTTGTCATACAAAATGTATTCTTTGCGCAAACGTGGACACTCAGCACAACAAAAGGAGCGTATTTAGATGACATTCATTTAGTTTACAGGTCTAGTCTGGGTGTACTTTTACGAAGGGTAAATTCTATTTAGTATTATGCTTTTTAATTCTACCTATTATCGCTTACTTCTGTAAATGTCTTTTTACTGTAGCACGATATATATATATATATGTATATATATATATATATATATATATATATATTATGACTTGGTATTTAAATAGGTGGTGCTGGACACTCCTTATTCGCTAGACTGCGGTACGTAGTAATAGAGATCCTCGTCAGTCAAGGGAAAGATATATACATATATAATAATACAATATACGACAAGCAGAGCTCTTATGCATTATGTATGCATGTGTATGTATAAGTATGCTTCAAGGAATGCATGGGCATTGGTTCGGGATTGTGTACTTGTGCAGGATTGCACACTTGTGCAGGATTGTGTGCTTGTCGGGGATTGCGCACTTGTCCAGGATTGCGCACTTGTCCAAGATTGCACACTTGTGCAGGATTGTGTACTTGTGCAGGATTGTGTACCTGTCGGGGATTGCACACTTGTCCAATTGTGCAATTTGTGCAGGATTGTACACTTGTCCTGGATTGCGGGATTGTACACTTGTCCAGGATTACGCACTATTTCAGGATCGTGCACATGTCCAAGTTACAAATGGAAAAATTTTGATCATTTTGTATTCTAGAGATGTCGCTTATGAAAAGTATCACTAGTACCATTATCGTTGAAGTGTCAAAAACAAAAGCCTGAATTAAATTTTTTTGGGAATTATATTACAGGATTAAAATCTTTATATCAGTCTAAAATCTCCCTCGGGATATTATTTCATTAATTGCAGTTCTTTGATTGACGGTCGTTACAATGCTAGTTGGTGAACGAGAAATCAAACTTCGCTGGTCGCACTTCAATGATAATGGTAGTAATACATATTGTAGAAACGATCGTGGATTACGAATTTTGATTATTCAGGCCAGAATGAACATGAATATATGAGCTGTGGTTTTAAAATGTAATAAAAGCTAGTAGTGTGTCGGGTAGAATTAAAAGTACTTCTCGTTGAACATGTATAAGTATGTCAAAGGAAGTTGTGTATTCTACTTTCACATCCCCATAATGCCTTACGTCGTTGGGGGGTAACCAATCAAAAAACTGTCCCAATTCGAAAGGTTTCTTAATTAAATTTATACTATACATGCTTTTATCTGTACAATACTGATTATCAGTTTATTCCAAGTTTTTTTTGCGTGTACAGATCATCAAGAGTTTTGGTCTTATAGAAAATGTATTGACTTACGAAAAAATGTTTAAAATTTACGTTAAACGTCTTCAAGCTTCTATCTTTTTCTGTTTTTTATCTCTTCATTTTATTTTTGGATACCAAACAAGGTATTGTCAACATTGTCTAATCAGCCTTCAGCAAAATAAGTGGGTTTTTACCCTCTGGTTACCCCCAAAGACGCAAAGTATTATGGGGATGTGAAAGTAGAGAATATGAAGAAAGTTGTGTAGTGATGTGTTCCTCCAGTCGAGAACATAAAAGGTTCTGACTTATTATTTTTGATCGGCGGCAGCGAAAAAAGCAAATTTCAGCGTGTAGCTCGCAATTTCCGAGTTCGCAGAATATCGAAAACCGCAGCAAATGAAATCGCAATCACCATACACTTTTTCACAGTACAAAGACTTATGGCGGCTTCCTGGTGCATGGATTGTTGGGAAAAATTTGCAAACGAGATCAAAAAGCTTTGCCACCTCGCGTACCAAATTCAAGCCCACAATCCTATGCACCACGGTGTCGTTACCAGTCTTTCCACGGATATATGGAGCCTGGCCTGAGAATTTATTACTTATCTTTCGGAAATAAGAAATTTAATGATTTTAATCACCCTGCATACGGGTGCGACCACGAAAACTTTATTTCGTCGAGGCAGAAAATCGTACGTTCTAGCGCGTGTTCGGGGAGCGCTGTAATGCGCATTCGTCCAGCAAGGTCGCTATGGCCCTCCGTATTAAGTGCAATGCATCGTAGAGTGGTGTTTCCGTATGAGTGGTAAACTACACAGCTAATTTGTAGCCGCACATACCGTATCTTTACCATATCCATCCATGATTAAGCGTTGTATTGTGGTTGGATGAATTACTCTAAGACATTGTGGGAAGCCATTTCCATGTTACGGCCTGTCGTACTGTGTATGTGCTGTAACTAATACCGTATGTTTCCCACTCATACGAGACTAAACCGCAAATAGTAAATGTAAAAGCTTGGAGCTGAAATGCTGGTCACTCTTGCGATTAAATGATATGACAGCGATATGCATAAGTAGATGATGAATTATCTTCTTGCATTCTTGATTTGTCTTGCCTTTAATCGTACGTCTGCCGCGGGGAATGGTATAAAAATTTCATACTGTCAAGAGTCGGGGGAAAAACTGGGAGGGGAGGGGAGGGGGGACGAATACATGCACCTTGAAGTCAAATTCTATCCAAGTGAAGGAAGAGACGGCAACTAATTCAAGGCTACCCTTTCTTTTGTTGCAGTTGAAAACTTTTTTAATGTTTTAAGTATCAATTATTTTCGTTAATTATATAAACACAACTACAAGCTTAATTTTTTTGTGGTATTTCGGTTAGTTGCAATTTTGGCTTTACCGGCTTCGCATTACCTATTTACACCTTTTGCCGTTCATTAACAGAAAATGTACATTCATTTGTGCCAATAGTTGTATCAATAACGTGTAATGTACTTTCATCAACACCACAAGTAACAT